AACCGCCCTTGGTAGATTGCAGTGGAAGAATAGATGAGCATCATCTTCCACAGCTCTCTCAGCTGAGGCAAGTGCTCTTCGAATAAGCCTCCAGGTGAAAGCCTTTATAAGTGGTGGCAATTCCCTGCTTTTTCCATGCTTGCTGCAGAATTTGGTTAGCTTGGGGGAGAATGCTCCTTGAACCCTGTTGGGGAAGTTGAATCAAATTTTGGGAGGACAGGTGCCTGTAAATGTTTTTGTGGTGCAGAGGCCATTCTTGGAGGGTGTCCATCGAAGGATGTCGTGTTGGTCATTAGGAACTGGGCGCACAGAGGTGATGGTTTGGACTGTCTGATTGTCAAAAGTGTTAGACAAAAGCTGCATATTCCATGCATGACTGAGTGTTAGGGTACTAACTATTACGTACTCCCTCCATCCAACAAATATGGGCACAAAAACCAAAACAATGGCAAAATGACAATAATACCCTTGTAAAATATCTCCTTCTCCACCAGGGCCACCTTTACGCCCTCACATGCTCAAGCTCAACCAACATATCCAACGCACACCGGCAGCCAAGCGGAAGCCGCTGTCTCGGTTGAGCTCGCCCAGCACGCGACGCTGCAGCCATGTCCGACCTCGGCCACTTGCTGCCGCCGCCTCGGCTCCACCTCACGAGCGCCAGACCTCACCTCCGTTTTCCACGCCGACGAGGACGAGCTCTTGCCGCCCGCGCGCACTTGCGGCGTTGCCATGGCTCCCACTGGCGGCCGTTGATGCCCTTGCCCATGTCGTCGAGGCGTCCGAGCAATCGATGTCGCTGCCACGGGTGCACGCCCACTGCGCGTGCTCGCCCACCACGCCAGTCCGTCGCTGCTGCAGTGGCCCTCTGTAACACCCTCGGTGTTACACCCTAAACAAATCACTAAACCATGTCATAAGCATCATGTTTATGTGATAAAGCATGTGATAAAGTGTGTAGATCAATTTCTTGTAATCTAAAATGACTAATAAAAATGTTAAATGAAAGTTGATTCAATAGTTCAGGTATATTAAGTAGGGTTGGAAACCAAATTTTATTGAGCGAAAATATTACAGAACATGTATGTGTCCCTAAATAAAGTTTGAAGTATAAACTTTGTAGAGGACAATGTAACTCTTGTCTTAGAAAAATAATATTGCTAGCTAGTATTTCTAATAGCTTAGAAATGGAACTTGAAATCAAATTTAGCCCAAGACTAAGCAAATTCTTAAGTCTGAAAACAGTGTGACAATGCAATGTTGGTGAATTAATTTTGAAAAATCTAGCTAAAGGTCAATGCTGTGTTTTTGCTCCTTATGGTAGACTGATTTACCCTCTTTAGCATGGTCGAGGTAGTTTAGATTCAACTGTGCTAGGTTAGTTTTTAGACGTGCTTTAAAATTCGTGCACGTCATATGCCTGGCCAGTGCGCACGGTCACCTCGCATGTCCGCTCGGCGTTGCACGGCTAGCTGCATCCCCCGCGCCGTGGTGTCGAGCCCGGTTGGCCTGTCTGGTCATGGGTTGGCCGTGGCCGGCCCTAGCGGACCGCTGTCATTGCCCTGTAGCTGCTGGACGTCGCGCTGCTGCCCCACCTCGCTGTCGTGCTGTTGCCACCGCTGTCGATCCTCTCGCCTGCACGCGCGTAGGCTTGTCCCGGTTGCCACCGCCGTCGCGTCGCCATCGTGTTCGCGCCCCTATAGCTCTGCGCCGCTACCTGGCCCTGTCCGTTGGCGTTGCCACGGTCGCGCGCGCACATGGAACACTCGCTGCCCAGCCCGTGGCCGTGCTCGTAGCCGCGGTGTTCCCACAAGCGCCCAAGCCACCGCACAGCCGTACCCCCAGCAGCCATCGTCTTTAACTACGTCGCGCCGAGCGCAGGCTGACCTCCCTTAGCCATAGCTCCGCCATTAACCCCCTTAGCCATCCAACCCCATCCCGCCATGAATCGAGCCTGGCCAAGCTCCAATTTGGTGCTTTTCCCACCGTCGTGCCGATAAGGCCACGTCCGGTCGCGGACGAGGGCAGTCCCCCTACCATCCGCCCTGATCCAATTCACCAACACCACTAGCTACGCCTCGCCTCCCTCTCTACCTTGCGCAAGTCAGCGAAACCGCTACCGCCTCTCCGTCGCCGCTGACGCGACCACGCCACCGCGGTGCGCCACCGCATGGCTTGGCCGCACATGGCCACCCCTCCTCCGCCATCCTCCACTCCAACCACTACTGGAAACAGAGACTTTGTCGAGTGTAAAATTCTTTGTCGAGTGTCAAAAATCGGACACTCGGCAAAGACCTTCTTTGCCGAGTTATGCACTCGGCAAAGAATTGCACTCGGCAAAGAGTTTTTTGCCGAGTGCCGGGCACTCGGTAAAGGACTTCTTTGCCGAGTGCCAGACTCTCGGCAAAATCTCTACACTCGGCATAGGCTGCCCGCGAAACGGCGTTCGGTCACGGCGTTCTTTGCCGAGTGGCTGCTGTTAGGCACTCGGCAAAGATTTATTTTTTTAAAAAAATTCTTTGCCGAGTGTCTCAGATCTGACCCTCGGCAAAAAAATTTAAAAAAAAATACTTTGCCGAGTGCCCCTGGCACGGCACTCGGCAAAGATTTATTTTTTTTTATAATTTCTTTGCCGAGTGCTCCTGTGGATGCACTCGGTAAAGAGGAAATTTTTTTAAAAAAATTAAAACACTCTTTGCCGAGTGCCTTATGCCTGGCACTCGGCAAAGACACCTTTACCGAGTGCCATGCCCCGCCACTCGGCAAAGTTTTTTTGTTTTTTTGTTTTTGACCTCCATTTTTTTGTGCAGCCCTTTTAAAGCACCAGGAACTCCTATTTACAATTTGGAGATTTTTTTGGCTTTTTGATATATTTAGTTACTTTATTTCGTTTACTTGATTTTTTTTGAAAAATAGAAATTTGAACTGCACGTGGTACGAATAATGGAGTTTAATGATTCAAAAATTGATAGTCATGTTAGTGAGTGTTGTGAGAGGCCGTATCCAGGAACGGACCCGAAATTTCAGATATCTTATTCACGAAACATGTCCGCGAAATTACGTGTGAAGTGTTTTTAAATTCTATAAAAAGCAAACGAAGTCTGAAAATCATGGAACTTGTTGAGATGTCGTGATATCATATGTAGAGGCTATGATAAAAATTTCAGAAGATTTCGTGCACGTTGTCACGTACGATGCTTACAAATCAGGATATCTCTACATGTGATATCTAAAACGCAATATGGAGATGTCCTGGTTTGTAGGTATCGTACGTGACAACGTGCACCAAACATTCTCAAATTTTTATCATAGCCTCCACATATGATATCACGACATCTCAACAAGTTTCATGATTTTCGGACTTCGTTTGTTTTTTATAGAATTTAAAAACACTTCGCACGCAAGTTCGCGGTCATGTTTCGTGAACAAGATGTCCAAAATTTCGGGTCCGTTCCTGGATACGGCCTCACACTACACTCACTAACATGACTATCATTTTTTGAATCATTAAATTCTATTATTCGTACCACGGGCAGTTCAAATTTATATTTTTCAAAAAAATTCAAGTAAACAAAATAAAGTAACTAAATATATCAAAAAGCCACAAAAATTTCCGAATTCTAATTAGGAGTTCCTGATACTTTAAAAGGGCTACATAAAAAATTTAAAGACCAAAAACAAAAAAAATAAAAAAACTTTACCGAGTGCCAGAGACATGGCACTCGGCAAAGGGGGTCTTTGCCGAGTGCAAGGATAAGGCACTCGGCAAAGAAGATTATGATTTTTTTTTAGAAATTTCCTCTTTATGCTGACGGTCGGATCGGGGCACTCGGCGAAGTTGACTCCTTTGCCGCCGAGTGCCTCCCTGATCCGGCGCTCGGCAAAGGGGCGGGTGGGGGCACTTAAGCGAGTTCGCCCGGGCACAGTCCAAGCCACACAGAGAGCCCCCGCACGCACCGCTCCCGGCCGTCCCCGTGCCCGCCAGCCACTCCCCGTGCGCCGCGCCCGCCAGCCACCGGGCCCCGTCGACGCCGCGCGCCGCCTGCCGCAGCCCCTCCCCGCGCCCCAGCCGGATGGAGGCGTCAGCTTCGGCAGAAGGTGGGGGAGGCAGCGCCGCCACGCGGAGCAGCCCGGCGGTCGTGCACGCCACCAACGACGACGCCGCGGCCAGCGAAGGTGATGCCTCGCGACCTGCTTCGAGTGTGTCTGCTTCGATTCCGGTTCTGTAACGCGGTTGTTGGGGGGTGTTGGTAACCACATGTTCGTCGATTTGCCAACTAGGGAGTGCGCTTTGCCCGTGCTACTTTGCTAGCTTTTTACGAAGACACAGACTGGACGCTTAGTAGTTAGGAGTAGAAGGGTTGTGAAAAAATTGTGTAACTTCACGGTAGATTTTACATTTTATTTCAACTTCATGAGACTGTAACATTGGGGCGTGTCTGAGAACCTGATGCGAAATGCTATTTGATTCCTTAATCAGATAAATGGTGTATTTACAATTAAGATAATGAAAGCGTCAGGGCAGGCACTAGCAAAATTAAAGATTGCTGTGCTCTAACTTTGCTTTTATATTAGTGCAACTAAGTGGACTATACTTTAGAGACCTTAACTAGTATGGAGATGTCTATACTATACTACTGTTACTTTCTGGGACAAAGTTTTCATTGTGTTGTTTGATTTGAGTATTTGGAGGTAAAAAATTTCTTGTTTTTCTAGATCTGGATATTCAAACTACAATCTTAGATTCCGCTTGGTTCAAAGCAAGCAAACGGTTGTGTGCTTATATAAGCTGTCAGCAGTTGCGAGAAGTCGATACATAAAAAATACTAGAAGGGTGTCTATCATCGAATCCTGGTGAGTCCATCTGTAGTTATGCTCGTTACTGATTCTGTCACTAACAATTAGGTTTTCCTTAAGGACAAGAGGAACTGGCAAAGGATCTTTATGTTCCTCGAGTGGAGGATAAGAACAGTAATATGCGGATGCTCAAAATCACCACCATGGATGATTTAGTTAAGAATTCAATGAACATTCTGGAACCATCACCTGTGGATGCTACCGGGAATGATCGTGAAGATGGTATGAAATTTCATTTCCATGTTACTGCAAAAAGCTTTCTCCACATCTATATATATAAGTTACTGCATCGATGGGGTGTTTAAGTTGACATGTATTCACCACCTGCCCTGTCTAATGTATATAAGTTACTGCATCCATGGGGTGGTTAACTTTACATGTATTCACTACTTCTGATCCTCTTTTTATCCTTGCAGTATTGTCATCATCTTCCCCTGTTGATCTTTTGTTATTGCCTGGTATGTCCTCTATCATTTACTTCATAAATGCTCCTTCACATGAACTGGGGTAGCTTGTCACTCCAATTTTGATGTGAAAGTCCCTCCTTGCGGCAAGGGGATATACAGTGCTATAGAAATGTTCTATTTTTTATTTTTCTGTGTAAGAAATCAAGTATAAAGGTAAGCAAGAGGTATGCTGCAGTTACCAATTCATTGTCAACTGAACTATCTCTCTGTGTATTATCCCTTTTTGCAGGTTGGGTCCTTCCAATTTGTAATTGGATTGACCCAAACTCCTAAACAATTTCATGCACTATACTAAAATATCCTTTTAGAACTATCTATTTGTCAATTATTCACTATATGTCTGCCTCTTATCCTATTTCTGTTGTATCTCACAGATATTTGCGTTTAAACACATACAAGGAGACGTGTTGTTTACTGAGTAGCAGTAGTAGTCAAGTCTTATATTCCATACAGAAAATTTAAGTCACCTTTTGTCAAGTTCTCACTAATGTGTATCCACTGATTTATAGTAGCAAATAAATGGTCCTTGGAGAAGCATAAAGTACTAGTTACCATAGCAGAAAAAGTTCCTTTTTCGTTTGGTTTCAGAGGTAGCCGTTCCGTCCTGTTTGGAAGAAAACTCTCTTTGTCTCGTTGTGAGAACTTCAAAACTTAAAATGGATAATGAACTTTTGCAAAATATTACTTTCAGATTCAAGTAGAATTGCAAGTTAGAGTGACCACTACATGTTACAGAATTGGACATTTCTTTTTCTTGATGTGCCTGTAGCCTGCGCAATAACTTATCCATCTATTTCAGAAAAAGGTGAAGTAATAAGCACGCATTACAAGCTATTTTCTGCTGATATTCGTGACATACCAAAACTGGATTCAGTTATTCGCATGGCTGAAATGGATCCTAGGTAAGCTTCTTTTCTCTTCTGATATGAAAACATGTTGAACTAGAAAATATGCCACACAATATAGGGACACCATCAATTAGGATACATGCATGATGTAGTTTCTATGTCTTTTTAATATAAACCAAGCTTTCAAGTGTTTGATATAACTTTCTGTTGTCATCAGCTTGCCAACCTTTATAATTGCAGAGTGTGTGCTTATTTACCTTGACCCGACTGCCACTGGTGCTATCGTGAGTTGGGCATCTCAAAGTTCTCCACTACTGTCTTTTTCTTATATGAGCAGGTCGAATCATTCTCATGGTGTACTATATTTTGCCTCTTAGGTGTAGCCTTTGGAATTGATGGCTAATGTTTTGATGCAGATTCATCCTGATGATGCATTTGGGGAGCAAAGAATTTTTTTTTAAAAAAAATTCAAACTTTGCCGAGTGCTAGCCAGAGGGCACACGGCAAAGAAATTTTTTTTAAAAAAAATTCAAACTTTGCCGAGTGCCAGCCAGAGGGCACTCGACAAAGAATTTTTTTTTTTAAAAAAAATTAAACTTTGCCGAAAGATAGGGCACTTTCGGCAAAAAATTTTTAAAAAAAATTCAAACTTTGCTGAGTGCCAGCCATTGGGCACTTTCGGCAAAAGAAATTTAAAAAAATCAAACTTTGCCGCGCGCCGGCTGGGGCACTTTCGGGAAAGAATTTTTTAAAAAAAATAAAAAATCTTTGTCGAGAGCCTGCAGGGTTGGCACTTTCGGCAAAGAGACAAATCAACAGGACCGGCGCCGGCCATTTGGTCGCTTTTCTTCTTTGCCGAGTGCCCGATAAAAGACACTCGGCAAAGAGGGCTTTGCCGATCAAATTTTTGCCGTGTGTTCTTTGTCGAGTGCCTCAGGCACTCGGCAAAGAACCTAAATCCAATAGTGAATCGTCACCTCGTCACGGCCCATGGTAGCCTCCTGATGCTCACGCGCTAGCTAATTAGGTCTGTAGCGGCCCCGGCTCACTAGAATGGGTGCACCGCCGTCGCGGACGGTCGTGCATCGCTGCAGCTTGCTCCAGCGTGTTCCGCCACCCAGTGTTGCTGCTCGGCGTAGGTGGTTGGATCGTAGTTGAAGGTCGGTCCGATTGACGGGCCGGTGTGAGCCCTAGGTGGCCGGCGCAGCCGCGCTATGCCACCGCTCGCCGCGCCATCGTGCGCTGGGTCGCCGGGGTGCGCTCGGGGGAAATTCCAGGAGAGCCAGGGGTTTAAGTGAGAGAGACAGTGTGAGAGAGAAATAGTGTTAGGACTCCGATGCGATTCGGGAGGAAGCCGGGGGCTTTGTTGCAAGAGCGCTAGCGGGCGGGCCGCGACGGTGGGCCGCTGTGCTCGCGCGCCGCATTGCACGGGTCGCGTGTGTGGGCTGAGCGGGAGGTTTCTTTTTCTTTTTCTAAGGAATTAGAAATAGTTTTCTAATTTAATTTTTAGGTTGATCTTTGGTAAATCATATAAAATCATGTCGGTTTTCAAAAATTATGAAACAAATTTTGTTAGGTTCCTAAAATTGTGCTCTATCTGTTAGTGTATTTAGTTCATGTTTATATGTGTTGACACTAGGAGATATTAAATAGTATGAGAATGCTTAATATTATTAAGTTGATTATTGTAGGAATTTTTGTGGTGAATTGGTGATAGTTTTGATCCTGAAATTTTTATAGAAGTTTCATTGTATTATTATGTGTTCACTTTAATTTTTGTAGTCTTAGAATAGACTAAGCATTAGGGTAGGTAGATGCTCTCTGTTTCAATATACATTAAATCATTAGTAGAAATAAATATATATCCTTGGTTTGCTAAGCTAAATGCTTGTTAGTTGAACCCAACACCTTGCTTGATGAAAATGATAGTTAGCTTAGTATCTTAGTCATTAGAGCTAGCTTAGTAGTTTAGTATGTGATTCTTATTTTAAGAGTTGTTGTTGCCTAAATGCTAAGTGTTGCATCCTCATCGCATGCATGTAGAGAATGAGTTGGTGGAGATAGAGTTGGTGGAGATAGTGACCACAGACGATCGCGAGTTCGAGGAGATCGTCGGGGAATACGAGGAGGAGATCCTCGTGAGAGAGGAGGTCCCGGAGCCACCGACTACTGATTCAGCTGACACCGCGCCTGCCCAAGGTAAGCCCCGGTGCATAACCCCTTATTTTTGATAATCTTATGTTATGTGTATTTACGTTACAGGAATCTTATGAAAACCACCTGCATAGATATAACTGTCCTATGAGTCCTACTAGTACAGGTTCGAGTAGCTACTATGCTTAGTTTTTCGGTAGCGTGAGTAACATGCCATTACTCACAATAGGTGATTATTATAATTACTCTCATGATAAAAATAATGAAAGGAAAATGGTGACCGGGTAATGATGTGGTATGGGTATTGGTGGGTGTAACAGGTTTCGTCCCGCGGCCAACGAGGCTTAGCTTGGTTACACTGGTTTTTCTGTCCGTGTCGATTGAGGACCGTCCGTTGCTGTGGATGATAGTCAGGTCACAGATTTTTTTATCCTGAGCACATACCTGCTTATGGGAGCGAAAAGGCTCGTTGCGCTCTTGTCGTGGGTTCTGACTCTTTCCAGACCGACTAATTGGAGGCGGGAAAAGGTGGCGGTCTAAGCACCATATTGAGACTAGGTCTCAAATATGGGGGCTTGGAGTTCAAGTTTAGACGGGGACCTAGACCCCGCGATAGGAGTGGAATTGGTTGGTCTTGTTTGTGCCTGGGGTACAAGCGAGGCGTGTGTTTCGATGTATGCAGCTGGAATACATTGGTTCACGAATCACCGTTTCGTGAGACTGTACGACTTGGCTATGGTCTAGCACAGTAGTAAGAATTAGTATATGAAAGACGATAAATTGGTTCTGATTGCTCAACCCTTGCTTGAAAGTAGAACGGTGCTTACCTAGAATGGTTAGCTAATGAAGTAATCATGACTGCTAATTAAACTTGATCTTAAGGACGTACTTCTAGTAATGCTTTTCACTAACAAAAATAAAACAGCAAACTCATATTGTCTATCATACCCCTTGGAGTTGGGAAACTATTCCCATTAGTCGGGTAAGTCTTGCGAGTATATTGTGTACTCAGGGTTTATTTTACCCTGTTGCAGGTGCAACTTGAGGAGTAGCTCTTGTGTGAGGATTCTTCTGGTAGGTACAGATGGATCCTCGTATCATTTTCGCTAGATGTTTATTTTCATTCCGCTATTTAATTATCGCACTCTGAACCATGGTATTATAATAAATAATTTCCAAGAACTCTTGTTGAATGAAATTGACTAAGTATTGTAAGCTCGTACTCATTATTAGATTCTGGAGGTAAAACGTGGATTGATTCGAGTTTTCCCGTGGGGTGTGCTCGACAACTGTTCGATGTAGCAAATTTTCGGGGTGCTTAGTGTTTAGTGGAAGATGAACGCCTCCAGAAACATGTTATTTCGGGTGGTTCTGCCACATCCTCTGCACAGGTGGCTGCTGGAGACTCAGTGCGATGGCGGCATGGCGCGTGCGTGGGGATGGGAAGGGAAGGGGAAAGAGTGGGCATGCACAGGTGCGGGTGGTGCTGAGGCATCTGCATGAGTGGAAGAGAAGCATCTCAAGAGCCTTGGGTAGATCTCTCTGTTGGTTTTTTCTTTACTTCTGATACAGTTCAGGGATAAGTGTGTGGACGATAGGCTCGGTGTGCCTGTGCACGAAAAGGGGGGTGGAGAATGAGTGGACGAGAGAGCATTTGTATCTTGTAACCTTCCATTGGTTTTCGGCTGGTTCACATGCCTGCAAGTACACTGTGCTCTGATGCCTGTTGCAGCCCGTGAAAGTGTTCACTTATTTTGGGAAATTTTTTGAATCCCAAACGTGCAAATATTTGTTGGACGGAGGGAGTAGTTGATTGGATCCAAATATTCTTACTCACTTTGTCAAAAAAGAATAATAATATCGTTTTTGAGGAGTAAATCATTATCAACATTTTGATTAGGTTTATAGAAAACCAAATCAACATTCTACATATAGGTTTGTTGTGAAAATATATTCTTGATTAAATAAAAATAATAATATCAGTATTATGAATATAAATGATTAAACTTGGGATTGATTGACGGGTTGAAACGTGAGTTTTACTATTTTTTTATATGTAGGGATTATTTTACTTATTTTTTTTTATCGAAACGTAGTGTGTTGCTGAGTTTTTATTGAGGGAGAAAAAGGAGATGCACTGACCTGCAGTTCGAATGTACTTTGGCGCACTGGCGGAGCTACACAGTGGTCCGGGTGGTCCAAGGACCACCATGCGCTCGGCCCATCCATGGCCCATAGATATTGGAAAATTCAGATCCTTAGCAGCCAATA